ATGTGCGTCCACTCTGGGTAACCAGGAGGTTCTGCACCAGACGCTGCCACGACTTGGGTCCTGTGTGAGGGAGCGGGAGGGCAGGGAGCACCAGGAGTGTTTGCTTGCATCTGGGAGCTTGATGAGACCCAGAACCATGCAGCTGGGGCAGCCTCTTCACAAGCACACCAGATTATTTGTTATGTGGAGGAAAGCTACAACTGTGAGGAAAAGGTTAAAATGAAAGGAAGCAGTTGCCACCCGGTGCTTCTGCACTCCAGGTCACCTCACTTACCTGTCAACATGTGGTGCAACAGAGGACTGGGCTTCTTAGACTGCCCGCTCTCTTCTACCCTCCGCCCGTGGTGGAAATGCCATTGTTTTAGTTTCTCAGTTTTTGCTGTAGCAACAAATTAAAGAATATGTATTTAGATATACATTTGGTCCCTCAAATACAACAGAATCTGTGGCATCCCATCTTGAGAAGACGATACTGGCATACGAATCCGCCTAGCTTTCTTGGTATTCGAAGAGTATATACATATTCTTAGCTTTCTGCTTTCTTGGAGTTTCCAGTTGCCTTCTTTTTTCTGACATTGTCTGCTTTTATTGTGTTCTTACATCTTCCAGAGTTTCAAGCATCACCTGAAAACTCACTGCTGGGAGCCTTCTTTGTCCTGTTCCGCTCCAAGCAATGTCTCCCTAAGCCTGGAGTGGAGCTTTCATTCCCAGGCTTCCATAACTGCTTTCCTAAGTTTGCTCTGGTGTCTCTTGAATCACAGGTTCCTCTTTCCTTCCTGACTCCCTTGCTTTGTTAGAGAACATCTTCAAATAATTTTTCAAGAAATGATGACTGTGAGAGAAAATTTTCTGAGTCTTTTTATGTTTTTTAAAAGTGCCTTTAATCTGTACTCACATTGGATTAATAATTTGGCAGGGACAGAATTCTAAGCTGAAAATACTTTTTCTATCAGAAATGTGAAGACTTTGTATCATTTTGGGGGAGCATCCAGCGTTGTTAAGTAAGATGAATGCTTATGTTTATTCATTTGCAGATAACCTTTTTTTTTCCCCTTGGAGTTTTTAGGATTTTTTTTTTTTTTTTTCTTGGTGTTCTGAAATTTCACATGACCCTAGGTTGGGTCTTTTAAATTCACCTTATGATTAATCTTTTCAGTTTAAAGAACAAGTTCTACTTTAAGCTGTAGGCATGCTTTTAATATTCTTTGATAACATCTTTGATAATTTTTTTATAAGTTCCTCCATGTTTTCAGTTTTCTCTTAGAGCAAAATTGTTATTTGGATATTGGAACGCTGAGATCAATTTTCCAAAGAGCTTACCTTTTATCTTATATGTTATTTCCCTTTTTATTTTATACACTTTTGGGTATACTTCTTGTTTAAATCCTTTATACATAAGACATTCTTTTTTCCAACTCTTTGACAGCTGTATTTGGAGTCATATATTTTAGGAGAACTTCAAGCTCTCCTTACTGAATCTCTGACTTCTCCTCCCTGGGTAGATTGTTCTTTCTATACGTGTGATATGTTGTTCCTCTCTTTGAGGATCCTCATTAGGATTGCTTCATTGCGTGAAGGCGGGAGGTGGGGACTGAGGATCCCCGCCTCTCCTTGAGGGAGACGACGCAGGGCCGGGAGGAGAAAGGCACTTCCAGGGGGACTTGCCGTTGGGCCATGTTGGTCTTCCGTCTTTTGCTGCGTATCTCTGCCCTGGAGACTCACGTTCGCCGGTCTGTGGTTAGCGGCGAGGCTGCGGTGGGGAGGCCCCGACCAGCCTCACACGGGGCTGAGGGAAGCGGGTCTCACACCGGGCCGGAGCATGGCGGGCGCTTTCTGCGAAGTCAGCAGCCGGCCTGCCGGCTCCCAGCCGGCTGCCCGCCGCAGGACGTGCACCTCGGCGCCCGCCGCGCCCCCTCCCCGCCAGCCCCCCGCCCCGCCGGATGCCCTGTCGCCACTGGACTGCGGTTGCGTCCCGACCCTGCACAACTGTGGACAGCGCTCCTGGCTTTTCAGCTCTCTTTCTCTCGGAGAGAAACGGTACAACCCGTTGCTCTTCTGTGCTGGAACCTGAATGTCCAAATTAGCACTTGAACTTTGTTAACTGCTTTGCCCACCAGCAGACAGCCCGGCATTGTCCAAAGTTCCAGTTTGCACAGGGATCCGGCGAAGGGGGCTTCCTCTTGTGCCACCAGTTCTCTTGCCAGTAGCTTGAGGATTGTGACACCACGACTTTAACTGTGTTCCTGGTGTCCTTTTGTACAAAAGATAGACTATTTTGCTATGGGTTTTGCATTGTTGCTCAATTCTGTTTTAAAGGGCTCCCCCATTTTTATTTGCTTCCTGTAATTTTTGTTTAGATCCTTTACACATAAAGACTTTTTTTGCATGGTATAAGGAAGGAATCTGATTTTGTTCCATTTGGATAGCGAATCCCTCCAACATCATGCCTGAAGCATTCCTTTTCCCACCTGATCTGAAGTGTCGTTCACTTGTATCAAACTTCCAGACATGCACGGCTTTTCTTGGCCCTCTGTGCTGTCAGGCACCGACACCGTTGTGCTCGATGACTGACATCTGTCTTCGTAACTTACAGGGCAGTCTCTGCAAGACTCTCTTGGCTGTGCTCAAACCTCTGTAGCCCCACATACATTTTAGAATATTTTTTTCATATTCCACTTTAAAAACTATAGCAATTTAATTGGCATTGCTTTCAACTTATAGCCACTTTAAAATGGTAATTCTTTTATCCATGAACATGGAGTATCTCTTTATTCATTACTCCTTTAGAAATGTGTTCCTCCATGAAGCTTAAATACAAGATCATTCGTAGATGTAGTTTCTGCTGTTATTGCACATGGGGATCTTTCTTTCAGTTTCTAATGTTGGTACATAGACTTGAATACGTTTAACCTATTCACCAGTCATGCTGAGCTTTGCTTACTAATTCTAATGATTTTCTTTGGTTTCTAAAAGAGATAGTACTGTTTAGAAATTATGGCAAATATGCATGCTCTCACTCCTAAGTGGGTCCTGAACATTCACCATAATACTATAAGAAAGGGACTGGCAGTAGTGGGATACCGCTGGGGGTGGGGGGACACAATACCAATAAGGGCACCTGACCTCAGACCAGGGAAAGCGGGGACCAAAGGGAGGCCCGAGCTTCACCTGTACAATGACTGCTTGTATACCTCATCCTGAACTGTACCCCACATCTTTGAAATAAAATAAATATAAATCTTAAAAATTATGGTAGCTAGACCTCCTCCTTTCTAATACTTTAAAAACTCAGTTGTATTAAAAAGAAAAGTACTCCATGCATCAGTACTTCCAGGACGATACTTGTGGTGCAGATCGTTTCACCCTTTCTAAGTCTCCAGCTTGAGCTAATGGAAGGCGATGAGGAATGCCCAGAGGTCTGCATGCTTCGCAGGGCCCAGCAGGAGCTCAGCAGGCCACTCGGGTCCTCAGTGCCCCCGCGGCAGCAGCGCCCGCCGGATGCCACGAAGCCACCTTGGAGTCTGGATGGGGAAACTTGAGAGCACTGTGTGCTTTCCGAGTATGCGTCCCAGGGCCAGGGCATCACGTGTCAGAAGGCCACGGGGTCCTGGTTGATCCTGTCTGTCAGACTCAGCACACACCGCCAGCAGGGGTCCTATAAGTGGCCCCAGAGCTTTCTGTGCTCCTGGCAGCAGCTCCCTTACCCAGCCACCACCCGCCCCCTGCCCCGGCAGGGATCCCTAGAGCTGCACATGTTCTCGGGTAGGGATGCTGATTCCAGACACGCCGGCACCCTTGCTGTCAGAGCCGGCCCACGCACTTTCCAAGGGACAGGCCTGGACCTGGCTATTCCCTTTACCCAAGAACTCACCCGAGCCCCATCTATTCCCATCCCCACGGTCCCGGCCGCCCAGGCAGACCCAGAAACTCAACACTCTCTCCTCCAGCCTCTCATCTCTTACCAACACCCTCACCACAGCCCCCTTCAGCAAAATCCCCCAATTGCCCCTTTGCTGGTGGAATGTAACAACTGCTTTCTTTCTTGCTGTGCTGTGTGCATCTATGTCCGATGGCATCTCTTTGGGCTCCTCTCCCTTCCCCAGTACTGTCTATGGGATGCCTGACCCCAGAGGCCACATGTCAGAACATCGCACGAAACCGAGACGGAACTAGACGAGGAGTGGACCCCAGCCCCGACGGAGCCCTGGGCAGCGACCACACCTGGTTTTGGCTACACAGGACACATCGGCTATGTTCTGCAAAAAAGGGCCATTAACAAGCAAAGGCAGGCGATGGGGCTGACTTGGGTGCTGGCAACCCAAGTGGTCACTGCGGTGAACACCTTTCCATCCCCGTTTTTCGTTTCCGAGTAGCTTCCCACTGTGTGAGTCTTGGTTGGGAAGACCTACTGGTGAAGCCGAAGGGGCCAGACTCTGCCTGTCTGTCGTCCTGTTGTTGACGACCCGGGGGCAGATGTCCCCAATCACCCATGCACACAGAAGCATACACACATGCAGGCACATGCGAGCACACACCCTCCACACTCTGAGATTCGCTGCCTCCCTCAGGAATGGCTGGAGAGTTTTCCAGGTGGTGGCCACCTGTCCAGGGACAGTGACACGGCACAGCGGCAGCGAGTGGGGGAGCCGGAGAACGGGGTGACCCAGCAGAGCCAGGACGGCCCAGTCCCGCCCTCCGAAGCAGGCCTTGCTGGCCGCTGCTGCCCTGGGTCCAGCGAGTTTCTCCAGCCCTCCCACGGACTCGGGGCTGACCCGTGCCCTCCCAATAGGTCACTCTTTGAGTTTCAGTCAGCATCGGCTCCTGCTGCCCGTGGGGAGGAACGTCAGCTCAGCAGGGTTTCATGGTGGCCAGCTCCAGGGGCGCCACTGCCACGATGAACTGACAGCAGTCCCAGAGTCACGCCGTGCGGTGCCACAGGACTCACCCACGTGACGGCAAAAACAACGAATTAGTGTGTCAAAAGCGCGTGGCACAGAAGAGGAAGATAAAAAAGTGTTCACTTTATTTTATATTTGAAAAACAAAGCCAGCGTGTGGTGACCCCACCCCTGGTGGTGGGCTTTCTAGGACCCCACACTTGCAGTTAGTCCTTTCTGCCAGTTGTTAGAAGGTGCCCGTGGGGGCCAATTACCCCCTTTTGCACGTCACTCTTTTTGTCTGACAAACAGCCAGTGATGCCCACTTCACGGGCTTGCTGAGGTCAGTCACACAACGCGTGCCCGGCACGGAGTAGCATCTGTGTATCGCCAGCCCCTCCCCGCACTGATGAGACTGTGCTCCCCGGAGCCTTCCTGCACGCACACTCTTTACCAAAGCGAGCCCGTCTTCAGTTGGCGCCATCGCCCCAGCTGGGCTGCACTCGGAAGCAATATGACCGCAGAATGCTTGGCCCAGCACTCCTGGCCTCCACAGCCACGATGCTCGCGCAGTCACCTCCCACATGGGTGAACCCACTGCAAAGAGAGGGGCAGCTGCGCGTCAGTCTGGGAGAAGACACGCACCCGAGTGGCCGAAGCCTCTTCGTGAAGACGCAACTCGACCTCCCACACCCAAGTGGCCGAAGCCTCTTCGTGAAGACGCAACTCGACCTCCCGCACCCTCATCCGGCCCGATTCCCATCTCCTGCTGCTCCGGGCTTCGATCTGAGGACCTGAGTTCACTGGCAACAACTGGCAGACATGATCATGTTCTCGGGTGACAGTATCAATTCTGGGCCTTCCCGACAGCAGTACCCACATCACAATGGTCCCAGCTAGTCTAGAAACCTCTCCCAATAGAAGAGAAGGGGCATCTAATTTAATCAGGGCAAGTCTGAGCCACTTCCCCAGAAGCCCGCCCACTCCTGACGGGTCCCGATCAGTCTCGTGCTCTTGAGCGATGCAGACGCAAGCACAGGGCTGATGCGACGGCCGCTCTCCATGAGGCCAGAGCTGGGAAGGCCACATGCCTGCCACGCACAGCAAAGAAAAGGGCAGCATAGCCAATCACCTGGCCCATCTGTGGGAGCCCCCCAGCAAATGATAGCAGCCCTCGAGGACGGGGAATTCATCCTCCTTATTCCACACGTAGACTCGCAAAGAGAGGTCGAGGGAAGAGGTGACCACTCGGCTCGGGTCCTGGAAATGAAGGGTCAAGTGAGGTGTTGGCGACTCCTGCAGGTGGAGAGCATGGTGCGGCCAGGCGTCAACTCACCACCCACAGGGCCGTGATGGGCCTTCGGTGATCCTGGAAGGCTGCCAGCTGCCGGCCGTGGATGGTGAGCTGCACCAGCCGTGACTCGGAAGCCAGCAGGAGCACCTGGGAGCCGTGGCCCTTCATGAGGTGAGGAGCCGGCATGCTGTCTGGCAAGAGGAAACGGGCGACCTGTTGGGCTTTAAGAACAAAAACATGCAGACGGCTTGTCTGGGCAGACACATGCCTCTCCCGGGATGACGCGGCACGCTGAGAAGAGCTACGGGCCCGCCGTGAAGCCACACCCAGTCCTGACCCCTGTGCGCATGCCCTGAACCTCCAGACCATCAGCCCAAGGTACCGCCGATGACGCCTCCCATGCAGGGCCTTGTATGTGTGTGTGGGAGTGGCCAGCAGTGTCTGGCACATGTGCCACGCAGGCGCTGGGCTCCCTTCTTTCTATTCTCTCCCATCCAGGCAGAGAATAGATGATGAGAGGCCAGTCCACGGGAAGGGCATGACATCAATGACACAGGCCAAAATGACCGCTGAAACACTGTGCTTCCCACGACATGGAACTCCTTGCTACCAGGACAAAAACCGCCTCTTGCAAAGCATTCGTGCACTCTCGCATCAGACAAGGGCCTGGGTGACACACCCTGCTTCCCTTTCTTCCTTGGCTGCCAGAAGGCTCAGAGTGAAATGCAGGGTCAGATGGTGACAGGAAAACACATGAAGATAACGCGGAAGAAGAAGGCTGAGGACCGCGGGAAGGCCTCCCCGGGCCGCGGGTCTGGGAACAGGGAAGGAGGCGGAGTGGAGAGGGCGGCAGGCCTCGCTCTCCTCCTGGGCCGGGAGCTCCCTGGAGACCAGACAGTGGTGGCTTTTCACGTCTGAACGCACTCCGTGCTGAGCACCGGGCCGCTGGCAGAGTCAGGGAAGGAGAGGCGGGAATGAACAGCAGCTGGAGGATCAGCCAGAGAGCGAGACCGCAGTGCGCGGCGTCCGGGGTCGGACTCCCTCCGGGCGAGGGTCCACATGAACAAGGGCTCCACCACCCCACAGGGTGTAAAGCCACAGACGGCCAAACCTTGGCTGGCCCGCCAAACCGTGACATTTCACACCGAGGAGACAAGACGGCCCAGAGGAAGCGTGAAACCCAGCGGGAAGCACATGCAGCCCTAGAGGGGGCCTGCGGGCTGGCACGGGGTCCTTACCCAGGACGTTCACTCTATTCCCGGACTTCTTGGCCCTGAGGTCGTAGGTGGTGACAGCCAGCTGCGAGCCAGTGTCAGTTTTGTGCATCACCATCAGCCTGGCCGTCTCGTCGGGGGCCCAGCAGACTCCGGAGCTCGGCCCGGTGGGGAGGGCCGTGGAGGCGGGAGGCTCGTCTTCCAGCGGGAACAGCAACGAGTGAGTGTAGAACACCTGGGAAGCGGCCCAGGCCGTCACGTCGCAGGCAGGGGGCCTCAACGTGGACGCCAGGAACACTGCCCTCCCTGTCCCACACCCGCCCGTGGGGCCTTGGGAGAGCCTGCCACTTTAGGATGCTCCTTCCCAGCTGAGACACCGATCGGGGCACCATCGCAGCCCATGTCTGACCCCACTGGAAACGCCTCGGCCGGCCCACCCGTGAGGCGGGGTCCTATGCGAGGGCAGCACACTTCTGCCTTGAGCAGCCGCGGCCACCACTGGCTGCAGGCCCAGCGTCTTCTGGCGTGTTCCTCTCCCACCTCCAGGTATCTCCCTAGAACTCTGGAATCGCGTTTTCGTCGCGTCCAGGCAGCCCTTCCTGTGGCCTCTCTGCACCTGGCTGCCCTTCCCTGCCCACTTGCCTGCCTGCTACCAGGTCCCTGGGCGCCTGGGCACTCTCCCCCTCCCCCCCCCATGACCATCACCCACTCTGTGTTTCACTTGGGTCTCGCTTCCCAAATCAGATGCTAACACTCAAAAGGTGCCACAGGCCCAGCAGATGGCCGGGCGTCCCTGCGCCTGTGCGTCGCTGGAGGACCAGGCCGGGCCGCTCTCCTTGCCAGCCCTGCCGCCCCGCCCAGAGCCCACAGGGTCACATTGCCTCTGTGAGACCCCCCACCCTCTCTCGGGGCCCACTGAAGCTCTAAATGGCCCCTGAACGTTCACCTCCAGGAGTTCCCTACAGCCCAAACCCTTCAAAGGTGAGCCCTGCGGCCGGCCCTTCCAGCCCCAGGGCAGCGCAGCACCTGGAAAGAGCACAGCCTCTGGGCGGGAGCTCTGAGGACACGTGCCACGGGGCTGCGGCCTCACTCAGCCCGACCTTCCCGCGGGACATGGGAGCAGCAGGACACGGCCCTCAGGGAGCCGTTACCCAAGCTGCTCCCTCCAGACCCAGGGCCGGGTCCTATGCCAGGGCGGCCAGCTCGCAGCCCCAGCCTCAGGGCTCCTGCATGACCCAGGCCCCCTGGGGGGCAGCACACACTGACCTTTGGGCCCAGGTCTGAGTTCTGTGCAGACACGAACACCCACTGGTGGTCAGGGGAGCAGGCGAGCCCTACAGAGCCGGCTGGGAACTCGGTCACGCGGGAGACCACATGCAGCCCAGGCACCGTCAGCGTGTAGAGGGTCCCCTGGGCGCAGGCCGCCTGCAGCAGGAACACGCAGAAAGGAACCAGGTGTGAGTGGCTCAGAGAGGCACCACGGTCTCCTTGCAGGCATCTGCGTCCTCACCTGACGGACGGACATAGCTGCTTCCCAGCCTCCCTCACGTGCACGTGCCAGTGCTGGGTGGCACCTTAGAAGAGTCTTTCAAATACGCATCTTCAGGACACGAAAGAGGAGGGGAGGGGAGGGGAGGGGAGGGG